TATATATTTGAAGCATATATACAGCCATATAAAATTATGAAGTAAATGTAAGCAAAAAGGAGAAAATCAAGATTACAATGCAGAAGTAACCAGTATTTCCAGATTTTTTCTATCCATTGATGCCTTTTAGTGCCTCTTTGTGCTGATTTATATGTATATTTTACAAATATAATCATAATCTCCATTTTATTTATTATTGTCAATCTGCCAAGAGCATGAATCTGTGCCTCTTCAGCCTTGGTTGTAAGAGAGAGAATGGCAAATGAAGTCATGCAGAAAAGGAATGTGGATGATTCTGATTGGAAATAGAAAATGATGAGCCCCGAGGAGTTTGAAAGTTGTCGTCCTAGCTGCAAGCAGGCAGGGCTCCCAGTGCAGCAATTTTGTGGTAGTGGCTACCAGGCTTGGTCCTTATGAATTTCTCTCTTTATGTTTGGTGAATCCAAGCAGGCTGTGAGACTTTGAAGGAGATTCTCGTTTAGATAATGTGCCCCCTTATCAGCCCTGGAATTAACGAGGGATTAGATTTGTCCAGGCTCCTGCATGCGTGTGCGTGTGTGTGTGTATGTGTGTGTGAGATCAGAAGAGGGAAAAGGTCAGATTGACTCAAGTCATTTTGGAGTTCTGAGGCCTATCTGATCTCATAGCCTTGTTTTCCTCCCCCTAGCTCTGGCTTCTGTGGACTCTATGCTTCTCTTGGTTGACCAGTTCTTGAATTTCTAAACCATGGCCCATGTAAGTTACTGATTTTTTTTCTTCTTCTGGAAATACTATCATGTTAAGGTCCTGTGAACATTTCTTTGTTCTGAAACTTCCTACCTATCAGAGCCCCATCCAAAAAACTTCTTCTAGTTCTTCTAAATCCAGGGAGGGATGAAGCACAATGCCTATTCTATGAACACTCTTTTTTCCAGTTGTTCATGTATTCATTGAACAGATCGTTCAGCATCTTCTTATCTGTGTTCAGTCTTCTGCTCAAAGCTGCTATGGGGCAGAAATGTAATCCCTTAAAGGAGATAGTTGACCATTCCTTGCGAGTTAATGAGAGAGATGGGCCCATTTAACCATTCATAAGAAAACTGAGGTTTCTAGACTTGAGTTTTCAAAGTATATAAGAGTTGCTGTTCGTTGGCCTCAGCTTCAGTATATGGTGAGATCTCATGCATTGTGAGGCTTTTAGTACTGAATAAAAATGTGGCTGGGTCTTGCATACAGAGAGATCAGGGATCTTCTCTTGGAATCCCTAAGAGCTGCGCAGCAGGAACAAGATTCTACCTACAGCTGAATAGGATGTGCTGGTCTAGAATGACACCTTTATGATTCTGGATCATGCTGCATGGGTATCCTTTAATTCAAAAGCAAGGAATGCGTACAGTGAGGGATAGAAAGTGACAGCAGATAAGAAGATAACCCAGATATATAAATAGTTACATAGACTCTCAGAATTGAGGAGGACCTTAAGATTTTGTCTAACCAAAATATCTAAATATAGAAGAATGATTAAGTTTCATATATCTATAACATGGACTATACTATAACCAATTTTTTAGGAGTTTATTAAAGAATCTGTCATAATAAGGAAAAATGCTTATGATATCTGTGATAAACTCGGAAGAAATTAATTGTATTCAGATCCTTTTCTAAGATAAAGATATTATAGGGAGCTTTTTAAAAAATCTGTGTTTTAAGGAGAAGAGTGTAAAAGAACTCACATTTCTTGAGAATTTATGGGGGAGACATATAGCAGGCAGAAGGCTTATATACAGTATTTAATTTAACTGGAAAACTGATTTTTTTTCTTTCCCAGACATGTTTGAGTTAAAGGTATGCCAGAGTAGATAAGAGGCTATGTCTGTAGCAACAGGATGATTCTTCAGGAACACATAGGCACTCTGCTTCAGGTACACTCATGTCCTAACCCACTGTGTTATAGGCTTCCAGCCCACGCCTGTTTGCTTGCTGTATGGTCCATTTCCTGCAATATCTCTTCCATCTTTTCTCCCTCCATCTTAAAATAAGTTTTCTTCCATTTTAATTATAATATACGGTTTGTCATTTCAGGGATCAGTGATGTTCAGTGACGTATCCATAGTCTTCTCCCAGGAAGAGTGGGAATACCTGGACTTGGAACAGAGAGACTTGTACAGAGATGTGATGTTAGAGAACTACAGCAACTTGGTCTCACTGGGTAAGGTTATCTGCCTCTAGGAATTTAGACTCTGTTCTCTGTAACATCAGCTTTTTCCTCTGCAATTTTCAAGAATATCTTTCAAGAAACTATCCAGATTTCTGCTCCTTATTCTCCAGGGAATGGTTTGAGATTTATTTCATTGGAAGAGAGCATCTCCATTAAGCATATTTATCTTCCCCATCCTTAGGTGGTCTTCATGCCTTCCTTAATGATGAAGGGGCTGGATTTGAAATCTGGATGATTTATAGCCTTACCAGCGTCAAAGCAGGTTTCACTTCGTGTTTGAACTCAGAATTGCTTTAGATGTTTTGTTATTTATTGCTATACCTGTAAAGGAAATAGTTAGACCCTATTTCCTGATTTTTCTCTGACTGTCAAGAGAACACATATCACTTATGTAGTGGTAAAATCTTCGCAATAATCGTCTGAGATAGGTACTATTATCCCTATTTTATAGATGAGGATCAACAAGATTTATTTACAGTCCAAGAGAACTCATTACTTTTGTTAATAAACACATTCAGTTTTACCTACTTTTATGATTGAAAATTAAAAATCTAAGAATTTTTTTGTGGCATTTTATTTCACAGCAAGGTGACTATAGTTAACAATAATGTATTATATATTTTAATATAGCTAGAAGATTTGAAATGTTCCCAACACTAAGAAGTGTTTGAGGTGATGGATATACTAAATATCCTGATTTGATCATTACACATTGTATACATGTATCAAAATGTCACATGTTCCCTATAAATACATATGATT